CGGAGGCTAGCACCTGGGAAGGGCAGGCGGCGTGTGCACCTGCCGGGGGTGGGCTGTCGAGCCTTACTTTCCTCGCGATACAGCTGCGCTCCAGCCAGCGTGCTGGGTTTGGGGTTTTGCTATGCTAATACCTGGGAATCGAGCAGGTTTCAGCCTTTCTGGAGCCGTAGAAACACCTAGAGCTGTCTTAGACTTGCGCTGTGGAATTAGAGACTTGCCAGATGCAGCGTGCAGGTATTTGTGGGCGTTCTCCTGTAGGGTGTCGAGACTGTGGCATGTTTGAGTCTATCAACATGTAGCCTGTCTTTTGGACTTGTTTTTGAGTTAGGTGCTAACGTTTGTGAAACGAGCCAGAAACCAGGTTTTAGAGTGGGTCCTTCCAGTGCTTTTGGATGCACAAGGGCCCAGATTGGCTTACCTAGGAAGACTATTTAGGTTTATAAGTTATTTCCGGAATTGGACTTGATAGTCTATGATCAAAAAGTCCTGGTAGATTTAACTGCTACGGAGAGTGCATGAAATTTTTGGAATGGTGCTGCTACATTAATGTACTGGATTTAAGATCCAGATATGCAGAGTACCTGCTTTTGCCAGAAAGGTATAGCTGCTGTTGCTAAAGTAAATCTTTGTATGTTTCCCATTTTCTGTCATACTTATCCTACAGGGGAAGCAACATACCTATTAGAAGAGTAGAATTTTACCCAGAATACGCAAAGAAGGAGGTTAAAACGTGAATTTGGGTAAATATTTTAGTTCTGGAAATAACCACCAGTTGAACAGCTTTTCACCACTGTAATTATCTTGCTATCAGAGTATCACACGTGTGATGCATGTATGTACTACACATAAAAAGTAGGAAGCTTTCTTTTCCCCTCCGTCATCAGTTTTGAACAATCCCAGAAAATTTACCCTGTAGGTACTCACTATGACAAGAAATAAAATCCTTATTGTGTGTGTGTTTGTGCATGCAGAGAAGTGAATGGAGTTTGCACGTATGTGTTATATTCCCTAAATACGTACGTGAAAATGTCCAGTCCTTCCTGTGGCCCTGACAAAAAATTCTGTCATCTTCAGTGGTGGCTTTGCCTGTGTTAGAAGGAGAAGAAAGTGGCTATGTTATACATAGCCAAAATGTCCATTTTACGTTATTAACTTTATGAAAGAGCATTTTTATTATGACTGCAATTCTTATCTGTGCAATTATTAATGTAAATTTAAAAGTGAGAGGGAACAATTGAGTATCCTCTGTCTAGTAATATGCAGCCAAAAGGAGATTCGGGAATTGCCTGATCGATAGCTCGTCTCTCCTTGGAGCATTCTATATGTAGTTTTAGTGTTCATTGCTCATTGTATATTGTATGACCTCAGTGTGTTTGTGATCTTACACTTTCGATGATGTATATATCTTCATGAGTTAATACATGTTAATTTAACCATAAAGACCATCCTGTCATTTTTCTAACAAGTTTATATTTCCACTTTGTTTTGAAAGTTTTTAAATTCTTTTTCCCTTAAATCATCCAGTCACTGCTTAATATGTAGCCTTCACTTTTTCCACATCTCCACCTTTTAATAACCATCTTACTTTTCATCTGTTTCCTAATACTTTCATCACTGTCCCCTTGACCGTTTGTTCTGTATTACATGTGGGCAACAAGAGGCTAAGCTTACTTACAAAACAATATACTTAGATTAACTGCTAAACAACTGTAATGACTAAACAGGATTTAAAAACATTTTCCGAGTACAAGGTCGTTCAAAGTTTAACAGAAAGGATTCAAGCTTTACAGGAGTTTGATTCACGGTTTGACACAATACAAAACAAAAGGCTGCAATCCCTTTAAGTTTACAGTTTAAAAGAGAAATTTGTGCATCTACTATTAATATAAATACATATTATCACAGTAAATACACATCCAACACATTCATGTAGTCACAATTATTTTATAGCCATAACATTTTTATATGTAGTTTAGTCATCTTCACATTTGTTTTCCTGCCATTTCACAAATTGTTTTTATACATAATTTTTGTATTTTATAACTTAAATAGTATTTTTGTTAATTCCTAGAATAATTAAAAAAAAATGCAGTGGGCAAGTTCTGATGAATTGGGAGACCTAACTGTTTTGAAGAATTCTGTTCATCATGTTTTTCCCAAAAGTTATCATCTTGGAACACCTACGTATACAGATATTAAATGTACAAGAATGTTAGGCAAAATTCTTTCAAGCCCAAATACTTCCTTTGTATTGCATTTACCTCAAATGAAACTGTATTTAAATTTAATCCATAAAAGAAATTTTCCTAATAGAGGATTATTGAGTAAGCATGCAATTGTTAGTGTGTTTCCACTCGAAAAGAGTCTACTACAAATATACTGCACCCTTGAAATCCAGTTGCTATCGCTTTTGTCATTTAGGAAATCTGTAAAAGTTACACCAATAAAGTGCTCGCTGTGTTGTCTCTGTGGTAGGAAGTGTAGACCTTTTTTTTGGAGGTGAGGAATTCCAAATCTTTCTTTGAAAAGTATCCCTAGCACAAATATGTTGCACTTACACGTGATAACATACATTCCTTTTTATCTGCTTGTCTATCTCCTCTCCCCCTCTAAACATGAAATAAAACATTATTCCATTTATTGGTAAATCCTAATATTGCGTTATCAGAATTCAAGAAACAAGTGTGCATAATATAGCATTCTCGTTTTCTTTTAAACAAAAAGTAACATTAGTATTCTGATTTTAATTGGAAGTATTAAAATTTTCTACCACTAAATTTACATATTCCCTAGGAGTTCTGGGTTGACCATTCTTGTTCATCATCAGTAATTTGGTAGGAAACAGCATTCTCTTGTTTCCTAAAAGCTTCTTTTTAACTGCAGTAAGCAGAAGAAGCCAAAGTTGTCAAAATCGTTTCTAGCAGTCTTTGGCAATTTTTAGCAATTTGTATGTTTCTCAAGAGCATATTATAACCTTAGAAATCTATTTAGATCTTGCGTAGACAATGAATTCAAAACATACTCACTTCCAGTTAAGGTTACTGGGTTTTTTGTTTTTGTGTGTGTATGTGTTTCTCATTTTTTAACTAAATAGCTATAAACCAGCTTTTCTATATATTCAGTGCTGCAGGGCACATCTTTTTCACTTGGGTGATAGTTGTAAATAACTACTCTGATTATAGTAGTCAGGCAGCAAGAATAGTTGTGGGATGTAAAAGAGGTTATATATATAGGGAGAAGTAGTATTTGGTATTATACCACCTGTTGTTATTGAGAGAGCAGATGAGCTCTTAGAGGCAACAACCTGCTGAAAGTACTGTTGGACCAAAATTGTACTTAAGTTTTCTAACTGTATTAGCTGCTCCAAAAAAAGATACAGCTTCACACCTCATTCCTATCATGGTAACATAATCTTTCCAATGTACACAGTTAAAAAAAAAAAAAAAAAAGAGCTGGAAAACGTCAGCATAGGAGCCCAGATTCCATGGTGCAGAGACTTGTATGGCCTCATAATACTTGGAGTTTCACTGCTAGCTTGTCTTACTTTTAATTCACTGAAAATAAAGTATCCTTCTCCTGTCATGAGCAAAGAAAGAAAGTAGCTGAGATCTGATCTACCTTTGAAACAGCAAGAACTAGAACCAAACAGCCCTCTGAAGTTTAGCAAAATCACTAGGATATGGTTTCTTGGGGAAGTAGCTTTGGATTACTGCATACTTCTCTGCTACCCATCATGCTTTGTATATTGGCTATCTGAGAGGAAGGGGCTCAGTATTTATATACTAATGAGATGGACAACCTACATTCCCTAGGGCTGCTACTTCGAATTGCCTGAGGACTGTCGGGCATTGCATAGGGAGTCGCTCTTCCACTTTGCTTTGCAGCCAGGAAGGCTGCAGTTTCATTTTCTTTTAAAACAAATCTTCAGTCATGACACTGCATCCTTCAAGATAGTGAACAAT